GAAGAGCAGAAGAGTCTGTAAAACTTCCCAATGCCCATATCTGCAAGCTTGCATCAATGCCGTCTTTCAAAGACAAACATTAAGAATGATTAGACCAGATCCATACATTTGTTGTCTATTAAAAAGGAAGCTCTGGTTTCCTGGAAATTGGAATCTATCCAAATCCAATCCATTTCCAAATCAAGCTGATCAATTGTCTTCCGGGTCAACAGACTAGAATCTTTTGAAAACAGTTCCATGGCAACAATTTCAAATCTAAAATCTCAATTCCATTCAAACAAGCACAAATAGGAAAAAAGAAAGGACTTAAAAGGAGAACTAATTACGGAAATCTCCCCAAGCTTAAGACTTTTTCATATTAAAACAAAAAAAATTGGTCCCAAAAATGCAAGCTCCAATGGAAAACAATTAGCAATGGAAAAGAAAACCCAGATGAGAAAATCATCAAATATGATACCTGGCCGCAGTAATTCCTCGAATTAACATCAGCTCCATTTTCAAGCAATAAAGCAACAATCTAACCAAAACCAAACACCAATAATTAGAAACAGAAACGATATAACTCACAATTAAGTAGAAAACATTCCATCGTAAAATGAGAAAGAAAAAATGTGAAAATTCAAAGAGAAAGAAAACCTCATTGTGGCCTTTAGCAGCAGCGAAATGGAGGGGAGAATTCAGCCCTCCAAAAGTCGAATACTTAGCCAGACATGGATTGCAATCAAGAAGCATCTTAGCCTCGACAAAATCCCCATCCCTAGCCGCCGATACTAACCTCTCCCCGGACGCCGAGCACCCAAATGAATTACCCATTTCGGAAAACACCCCCTTTTCTCCTTCCCCGTGCGTGCGCCTGTTGTCTTCCTCCGTGAGACGCCTCTTTGTATGGGAATCGGATTAGGTCAACTGCCGTGGAAACAGAATTCAAAAACAAGGAAAAAAGATAAATAGATAAAAATAAAAAAAAATGGGTTCGGAAGATTTCTCGGAGACGTGGCGGTGGTGACGTTGGCACCCTCCGATTCTCGCTGTGTCTGTCGGGGTTCGGCTGCAGGGGACAAATGGAGAAGAAGCAGGGGAAGGGAGACTTCTGAAGATAGCAACTAAATTACTTTCATCTTCACTTCTCCTTTTTGGTTTCTTGTGCTAGGCTGCTAGCTCCCTCACTGTTCTGTTTCCCAGTGGGTAGTAGAGGGAGATTGGCCTCAAAGTTTTCTGATTTTACCAATTGAGTACATAGAGATTTTTTTTTTTTTGTGCAAGATAAAATGCTACACACCTCTAGTTTCTAATTTTGGCCACGGTTAAAAATAATACTAAAAATGAATGTTTCGCCCTTACTTTACAATTTTGAATTAATTAATTCATTTTTTACATCTTATGATTGAATTATGCAATAGAATTATCATCTCTTTCTCTAGTATTTTAGAATCACGTCTTAATATAATTTTGAAACTTTGAACTAAATTCTTATCAATTGAAATAATCTTTTAGACATTAATTTGTTGAAATATCAATTATCGTTATTAGAAAAAATATTATTTTTGGTGTTTATAGTTGAAGTGTCTCTAGAGCAACTTTTATATATTTTTAGACTAATTTTTTGTTTAATAATCTGGAAAGAATACCACCACATTAACTTACTATATTTAAGAGAATTAATTTCCTTAAGTACTAATGTTAAAACTTAAACTCTAAACCTAACCTATAACATAATACCTGCTTATCAATAGATCAAATCTTTAGAGTTAAAAAAATTATTGTTGTAATTATTAGTGAAAAGTTCTTAAACCCATTAATTTTGTGGCCATCAAATCAAGTTCTTTTTTTTTTTTGAACATTTTGACACGGGGCGGGTTCAAAACCCGCTCAAAGGAGGAGGGAATGCACCTAGCAAGCTGGCTAATGCCAGTGGGCCTCTAGGCCCAGGTGCAAATCAAGTTCTTATTAATTAAGACAATCTTTTAGATATTAATTTGGTATCAATTATAATTATAGAAAAAAAAA